GGCTAAACACTAACTAATCTTGTAACATAATTTAGCAAAACAAAAACAATTTAATTCATTTTATTGGATTTTTTTTTAGTTAAATAAGTAGTGTTTTGCAAGCAATAATAAGAATTATAACAATTAGCTCAAAGCTAAAATTCATAATTTTTGTTACAAGAAATACATGTTTATTTCATATATAAAATGGTGGTTATTACCTGGTTACTTCATTAGGCTAAGCATTTTTGTTAAATGAAAATTATTGTATCTTTATTAGTCCATCAAAATAGTCACATCAAATTTGTCATAATGCTCTAGTAATGAAAACAGATTGAAAATACAAACTTGTAAATACAGTATACATAAACACTTATAATTGCTTGAGTGGTAAACTATGTTAGTAAACAACGATTTTTCGTTAGATTTTATTTTTATGTTTATTCTACACCTTGCCAAGAACATATTGCCAAATAAATCAACCTTTAAATTAAAAATACTGTACTTAAATCCTTAGCCGTAAATCCTCTTTTCTTGTCATAAATAAATACGTCACTATTCTTTCATAGCGTATATAATCCTTAATGAGCAACTGCAATGGATGACTAGTTTAAAATAAACACGTGGAACAGCTGCTGTCGCGATTACAAAGCAATAAAAAGATCTCAACATCATTGTAATGCAGCGAGTCACTGAGCTTTAATCAGTGACAGGAAATTACAGGAGAAGAAATCTGACACGTATAAATATTCATCGCCAGTCCATTACTTTGACTCCCAACGGAAAAGTAATGGTGTTAGAAATTACTTTTATATAATCTACAGTGTTAACTGAGACGATCGTAATGAATGTAAATAAACTCCAAAAAATAATGTCAACATGCTGTATACCACATCAAGAAAATTATTCCGGAAGTCGGTAAGATATTTAACCAGACCGCAGCAAACCTGCAGACTAAGCGAATTTCCATTTGCCTAAATTGCATTTAAACTAAAATGTCTCCCTAAAAATATCACATTTATTACCTACAACAGTACCTATAACAGTAGTTTAACGAGTATTTAGGTTTGCTGCAACAGGAAGGGTAAAAAGTATTTTTTTGTAAAATGTAATAGTTTAGTATGAAATGAATGCATTTTCCAAATTTGATCAAAATACGTCATAAACAAGCAAACTACAACAGTTTACTTATTCTCCATAAGAATAACATAGTAATTTTAAATAACTTTTTTTTTTGCATTATCTCTGTAGCCATTAGGTACATAAAACCGCTTCAATATACTAAATTATTTGTTTTTTAAGCTCTACAAAGAAGCTGCTAAATTTTATAAAAAATAAAATAAAACCCCCCATAACCCTTGTTCACATAGTCCTCTAGTCTATGAAGAACACATGCTGGTTCGCGAACTCGTTCGAATAAACGTTGGTTTATACGTTTGTACCAAATTCCATCAAAATTGGTTGATTTTTGCTCGAGCTATCGCACTATCGGACATATTTATATGAATTAAAACGGATGGTGCTTTGGCTTCTAGGGCCCTCAAAACGAAAAAATAAATCGGTCCCGGGCCCAGGTCTTACCATGAGTTCTATGGTAATAGCTTATTCCCTATATGGGAAATTCACAATGTAATACAATTCCCTATTATAAACTGAATTCAAGCGTACCTTTGCCTCAGTGAGAAACACAAATCAATTTCCCACTGGATGTCAACACATATCGCTCAGGCTACCAACATAAATCCAACGTAAACAAAAACATTTTTGTCGAAAACAAAGTCACGGACATTAATCAGGCGAAAACTTCCCACTTACACAAAACTGTTGTTTGGTCGTGGATTTATCTGATCATTGGACGAAACAAAGGGATACTTTGGGTGGAAAAACTGCGTGCAATGTGATGATAAAATATACTGAGGGAAACAAAATGTTTTATACATCATTAAAATATAGTCCATACAGCAATGAAGATGATTTTGCCATCGTATTTGTGACGGTGCAAAAAATATTACTATGTAAATCTAACTTTTAACTTTGAATACCTCTTTTAATATTAAAATTTTTACTCAGCAGAACATTATCATATAGGACGACCGTATGCTTGTACCGGAAATATACTTGTGACGAGCAAGGAAGAGCCCAAACGGTAAGTATTGTGCGAAAATTCCTACCGTACAGAGCACATAGGGTCTTCCTTCACCTCACGCTGTAGTACTTGATGGCAAGAGGGTGGTGTTTTACTTAGGCCTAGACACCAACTCCACTAGTGCTAGACACCACTTAAGTTTACCATTGAGTATTAACTCTGTACCTTTACTTTAGTTATCTGTGGCATTATATACTACAAACAACATAAATTGTAAACTATCTTAGGTATAAAAACGTTTTCATGAAGAATAAAATAAATAAGAAATAAATTACATCAGTTAAACTATTTGTATTGGTAAAATACATAAAAAACATATTTCACATGAACCTTGACCAGGTGCAAATATATGTAGCAAAAATATGGGACAAATACGATAAAAACTATAAATTTAAAATTTCTATGAAAAATCTTATGCAGATAAGCGGTTGTAGTTGTAGTTAGGGATATTTTTGATAAAATTTGGCAAATTTGTTTATTTTATACTAAGCTATTGACATTTTGATTAAAAATTACTTTATAATCTTCCATGCACCAGAAAAACTTAAGTGCACTTTATACAAACCCTACAACTCCTACACCCCCATATGTTCCTTTTATTGAAATAAAAAATAAATCAGTCCATTCTAAGGGAATATTTTAGAGAAATTTTAACCAGGTAAATGAATATTTGCTTAGTTTACAGGTTTACTGTAATAGGGGGATTTGATTTTCTTCAAAGATTATATAAGTAAGTTTTTACTATTGTTAATTCAAAAATGTTCTTTCTTATTCTGAAACTGCATAGTATTATAAATTAAATACCAAAAACAATTTGTCAACACCTTTTTGCTAACATTTACAGCTTAAATAACCTTAAGTTATATAACCTCCATCGTTCAACAGTTAGCAAAACCCGGGAAAACCGATTTCAAAGACAACGTAAGCTGGAATAATTCAATTTACAAAAAGTTCCCCTCAAAGTTCAAATAGTCTGGATTGTTTAACTTTTTGTTTCGTCTGGTGGTCGCCGAGGCAAAGAGGAATTCCAAGTAGAAGATCGACATTTCTCATGTTTTACTTCTCCGCAAAGCAGTCGTGTTTATTATTTGGTTTGTAAGCCATTGCATTCTTTTTTTCTTATTCGTTAGTTCTTTGCAAATTTTGTGTAACAGGTTGAAAATAGTTGTTTACTTTTTGGTTTTCAACCCGTTTTGTTTATGTTTGTTTACTTCTACTGAGTCTAATTGACTAAACGTTTGGTTGTAGAGCTCACATTGAAATCTTAAGGTCGCTGTTTCGATTTTAAAGCGAGATCTTAACTAGATACAGATTTATTTTTCACTGTGCTATCAACTAATGGTGATATCTAACAACAGTTTGCCATTAGATAGTATCAGGACTAGGGAACCGTCTTAACTTTCCATTATTATAAACGTGCACAATCGACACTGGTCTGAGCTTTTGCCATTTACCTAATTCAAATTAAGTTATTGAGTAAAAACATAACTTTTATTTCTATAAAATTTCAAATTTATAACTATGTCATTCAGTAAATTTAAAGAACCTATTTTCCCCCTTGTATGTCCTCTCTCCGTCGCTATTGAAAGGGACCAGCATCCAGTCATTTAGTACATTACGCCATAATCGTACTAAGGACGGATACTCTGCTAGTTCTAGTAAAGAACAAATCAACCAAACCGAAATTTAATTACACGTAAAACAATAATTACATGTAATTTATTTCAAAACCATCGATTCGATCAATTTAAACAGTTTTTAACAAAAAATACAGTCGTGTTTTAATAAAAAAAACAAAAAGCAATATCTAGATAATAGATTGTTTGTTGAACGTTGTTATTAAAATATCTCCAGGTTATAAATCTTGTTTCGGTTCATCTTCTATGACTCATTTTAACATCACCATTCGAATCACGTTTTACATTACAAGATGGACGATGACAAAGAGAGCGCTTTAGGTGATGGACTTGATAATGCTGCAAAGAAAAGGTCAATTATTGAAAGGAGTGTCGTTTTGAATAGTGTCGCCTCACGTATTAAGACACTTAGTTATATTTGTTTAGCGTAGATTAAACGATAAAAAATCCGTTGTGGATTTACCTAATAGATAAGTTAAATTCTGGTTAAATGTTAGTTCTGTCAAATATAGGTACAGTAAACAGTACAATCAAATTTATTTATAATAGTTTTTTGTTCAGTAGTGTTTCTTACAAAACTTTAACAACAAATTCAACACTGTATTTGAAGAGATAATAAAGGTTATTTAAATTGTTGCTGTCCTATGGAATTTTATTCAAAGATCTACAGCCAAATTTATAACACCTACCCTAAAATTTGAGGAAACTGAGTTAAAAATATCATGGCACTTAAACATTATATACTTTTGTTTATTCCCATTTTCACGCTTAAAAACTAACACTTCTTTCTAATGATTTTGTACAGCCTGTAAACAAATAACTATGTACGTTGAAGTATTTTTGTACAAAAAATGTTAAGAAGAAATTTAAATACTCTAAACTTTAGATTTCTTGATTCTTATAAAGAATAAGTACAACTTTAGTAGTTTTTTTGTTGACATAGTTTGATAAGAATTCTGAAATTTATTTGTTTCATGATAAACTATCAAAATTCCAATAAAAAAGACACCTTATTATCTGCCTAGTAGAAGAAGCAAACCGAGGTACTTTTTAAACATTGTGTTATACAAATAAAGAGTTTTGGACATTTTGGTGTGAAAATCCTGTCAGGCAAAAAAAATTCCTTAATCCACTGGTATGCTGCTGCGGTGGATTTATTCATAGCGTCCTACTAGATGGTTCTTCGCAACATTTGTTCTATTTACCCCTCCTCCTACCAAAGTTTTCGCTTGTTCCAGTTCCTCCCAACATCGACGACTCCCTGAGCAGTTCTGACGTCATCGTTAGAGAAAACTCCAATGTGACCTTGACCTGCCACGCCACAGGGTCACCTCCACCCAGCATCAAGTGGAAGAGGGACGACGGCAGCAAGATCAACATCAACAAGACGCTTATAGGTGAGCTGCAATGTAAAATAGTCCAGTAAAATGGAGAGTTTCCTCAAAATACCTCCAAATATGGGCTATTAATTAACAGCTGTCAAAAGAATAGGTCGGCTTTAGTAACTAACAAGACTACAAGATCGCGCCACTCGTCGTACACTCATCTCTATGCATACTTGTCTTAAAATACCTACAGTCGGTCACCATTTCATAAGAAAGTATTAAAGTATAAAAGCTTAAGCAAAACCTTTTTTAAATAAAATGGACTAAACCACCAACATATTGCTGGTTCCAATGACTGAGTTGTGTTAAATACGCCATTTTAAGCTAGCCAAACTAGAATGACAATTTTTGTTAACTATGGCTTCAATATTCAAATTTAAATACATTTATTTAAGATATATGCTTTGGACTCGCCAAGTTTACAATACTTGTTGGTGAGGTCCAACTGATGCACAAAATTAACAGCCAAATGTTTATATTTTACCCCTTAGTACTAAATTGATCTAAATGTACTGGCTCTAAGGCGGTTTGGCTGGCACCTAACTTGAAATGAGTAAATTCGTAGGATAACTACAAAACTCTTAATTTAGTATGAAAAAAGCTTTATAATCTACAAAATTCTATTTGGATTGCTGTATGCATTGCATTTTGTTGCCTTGGTTTTTCATGCTTTGTAGGCAATGACATATCTTATTAAGTATTATAATATTAAACAATATATACATTTAAGAAAACAAGCTTTTGCCGGTAACAGACAGATATTATGGGTTAAATGTGTGTATGCTCATTCAGTTATTTTTTTGATAAAACCTTTTCACCCTTTTGCTTCTATCTAAAAGGGGGTACAATAGGCAACCTAAGATGAGCTAAAGAGAATTGTGACAGTAAACTGAGACACCAGGCAAAAGCATCTGCAGCGCATGTATATGACAGGAGCCTAATTTGTAATAAGTACAAGCAGATCTGGAAACATATTCTACTTTTTAAGTTCCAGGTTTTTAATAAAGTAAACAAGTGATCAAGAGCCTGTACATGAACAACCTCAAGTCTTCACAATCCAAATTTATATTAGATGTTGGAGGTTATTAGTAATCCAATTATAAAAAATAAGATACCTTAAGCAGTAATTTTAATTTCTATTTCTAGTGTCCGAATGGGAGGGAGAGATTCTGGAGATTTCCAAGATCAGCCGCTTAGACATGGGTGCCTACCTCTGTATAGCCTCCAACAGTGTGCCTCCTTCAGTCAGCAAGCGGATAAAAGTCAGCGTAGACTGTGAGTAATATTGTCGTATCAAGACTATTATGTAATGTTTGTTAACTAAAAGTACTAGTAATAGAACATAATTATGGGCTGCAATTTAATTTAAAGACAACATGGTTGTTCTAGGATGGTAAGTCATTTAAAAATATGCACTACTTTCGGGATAACATATTAAACCAAATGTAAGAGTGTTCTTGGTGAAGTTATTAAAAAGCTTTCTTCATGGGATAGTGTCATGTATTTAACGTAATATATGTGGTCAAATCATATAATACTGCATAAGGCTTTATGGGCGAAAGTATAAAACAGTTTAATGTAATGAAAAGACATCTTTATTATTCTTAACTTTATTTAACAAAAAATAATCAATTATTAGCCAAATTTTACTTTTGTTATATATGAAATGAAATGAAAAACATAAAAGACCAGTGAATCCCATGTGGAAAATAAACATCAAACAATTAAATGTTATAGATTTTTATTATTAATAACACATGATGTAATACTCATAATTATTCGTTAAATGAGTAAAATTTAATTTTTAAAAAATTGATAGAACAATATTAAGAATATGCAAGTACAGATTGTATAGTAATAAATCAAAACCATTGGTTTATGGAATATGAATTTAGTATCTGATAATAGCAAAAAAAAAGATGAATTACAGTATGTTTATGCATAATATTTATTTATCGTTAGTAGGCCCAAATCGTACATGAATTTAAGATTTGATATCATAATATTAATCTTGAAATCGTGGAAAGATATTTAACTCTGTAGTTATTGGTGGCTTACCGTAATGACTTAAATCTAGTATTTCTCTATATATAAGTGATAATATTAAGAATAAGACTACAAAGTACTTGCTAGATAGAATTGAAAAACGTATATTACTATCTGTGAAACTATTTGTTACTCATCTATACTTATAAAAGGCAAAGCCCTCACTGGCTCACTGACTCACTGACACACTCATCACTAATTCTCCCACTTCCCATTTACCTAGGAGGCTGAAATTTGGCACATTGATTCTTTAGGCATTGAATAGGAAAACTAAGTTATTTTTATTCTGATCGGACTCTCGGGCTCCGCCCCAGTGGCTCTGGAGTTTCCCATGTTAACCTTATGAGTACTTATATTTAAATGGAATTAATGAATCTTAACAGCTGTTTCAATTAAACAAGTTGGTTCTGATCTATGATGTGCAATAGCAATAAAGTTATAAGGATTACCAACAGGGTGCAGCACTATTATTTTTTTTTAATTTATGACAACAGCTTATTTGCAACCAAAAGGTGAGTGAGCGTAGCGAACGAACTTCAACCTGTAGGCGAGTTAGCGTAGCGAATGAGCTCACTTGAAGGCAAGTGAGCGCAGCGAACGAGCTCCAACCTAAAGGTGAGTGAGCGTAGCGAACGAACTTCAACCTGGAGGCAAGTTAGCATAGCGAACGAGCTAACTTGAAGGCAAGTGAGCGCAGCGAACAAGCTCCAACCTAAAGGTGAGTGAGCGTAGCGAACGAACTTCAACCAGGACGTGATTGAGCCATGCGAACGAGCTCACTTATGAAGTAAAACGGGGCAAAGCCCGCGGGTACAGCTAGTCAATCTATAAGTAAGACTAATCGAGTTTAAACACTGATGAGATGCAGAAATATTTTATTCTCAAGGGTTTTATTCTCAAATCTTTTTAACTATAACATAGGTTACAAATCAAAGGTTATACAATTATACAGAGTTTTTTATAAAATCCTTATAAAACTTCCACAAACAATATCCTTATCTGCGATGTCGTCTGATGTATCGTCATATGTTTTGACTGCGGTTTTAATTAAATCAGAGAGCAAGTTGTCGCGTCCCATAAAACGACAAGTTTTGCATATTCCATTACCTCGCTCTCGTTTTAGCCGCCGAGCTTCGCCAGATTGTAAACGTTATATTTACTGTGGGACGATAAAACGGTTTCGGTGTTTTCACACTTTTAATTGATCTGATTTTCCGCTCCGTAACGCCGAGCCGCTGATTGAAAGATGGATTTATGTTTTGAATCTGGTATTCATTTAAGCGATACCCAGTGGGATGTGTTTCAAGCTGTTGTGTTGAGAAGGTTTTTACCAAAATGGTCCAAATTAAAATCGAACTGTTGGAGTTTGGTTTGTCGTTTTATTCAAGATACGTCATCTAAGTCACCCAAAAGATGACTTAAGATTATGTTGAAATCTGCAATCCTTACGAATATTTGTAAGTTACAAGTATAACATGTTTTTCTGTAGTAATAGGGTAAGTTTGTGTTAAAACTTAGGTTTCCTGTAACAATCCATCTAGTCATTAATAGTCCTACTTCCAAAAAGAAGTTATTTTCTGTTTATAATTTGTGTGGTCCAGGTACAACTTGAGTATTAACATTATTAAAGCTACCACGTTTTTGAACAAACAAAATGCTAATCGTACAATTCGAAACCAATCAACTATGCCTTTAGACATCTTTGATGTTTAATTATTTTACATAAAATAGGCAAAACAAGGTTGATTTTAAATCAAATGGAACGTAACGATTAAATATCTTGATTTTAAGAATCAAAATAAACCACTAGCTTTATTCCAACGAGATTAAACAGGGACAGCCTAAAATATTCAAAAACAATACTAATCAATCAATCCAGCTGTCTAAAAGACTTTCTTTTTAAATGTGCATCACTTCCTTTGTCGTAAGAGTAAATCGTTTCTTTTCAATTGTTTTAATAATATTAAATTAAGCAGTTCCAGTGGGCCTACTTTTTCATGAATGTATAAGTATTGACATCCCCAAGCTTCATGGAAAAATAATCACTTCATACCATTTCAGACTTAGCCTCTAATAATCTTATTCCAAATTGATGTGGCAGGATGATGCTAGGCATGGATTATACTCATTAAGCCTCTCAATTACCCCAGATCGGAGATGACTAACAGACTTAAGCAGCCTTAAAAGTTTAATACCATGATACAACCCTAAATGTTTCAAGTTTAAAATTTAATCATACTTCACCTTATGGGATATGATTGTCATTAGTATGTTATTCACACTATTATTGACGGCAAGAGATTATTATCGACTGTAAAATAACTTAAACAGACTACAATAAGTGATTTTTAACTTTTCAATTTCAGGCTCTAAAAAGAAACGATTTAATCTTCACCTTAACAGAGAAACAGTGACAAACGGAAATTGGTGTGATATTTTAAACGTTTAAACGTTTGTCTATAAATTCAGAAAAGGTATTTATCAATTTGCACCACCCAAAATGTTAATTAAATCTATAATTTAAACATGTATAACATGGGTTAGTTTTACACATTTATATTATGCTCCTTAATGAGAGTAGATATCTTGAGATGTTTTTCTTAATGCTAAAGTATTTTTAAAATAATTTTCAATGTAAACACTTTTATTATTCATAAAATTGCGAGATTACTACAAACAAACAAATGTTTACGTTATTTTCATCATCACATTTATACAATGGAATAGTTTTCCACTACGCATTAATATTCATCATGCTTACATTAAAAATATTTATTCAAAAACTTTGACTTGTAAAAATATTCAAACACAAAGGTCAAAGATTTTAGGGCTGATTCCGAGACAATAGAGAAGCAATCCTCGCCGTTAGGCGTTCTGCAAACATTTCTAATAATTGTTATTAATGATGATGGCTTTTGTTCTGTTTGGAACAGTTTAACACAGAGCCGTATCTTGGTAAACTTGTGCGGTCTTGGAATTCAGAGTTTCTGAGACCATTGTTACAATAGAAGAATCGAATCGAATGATCGTTAATCTCGCAAAGCATATATGTGTTTTCTATGTACTTTCTGAATACTCAATTAATTTTCTAAGTCGACATTGTAGTTCAAATAATCCTAATGTTACTTTAAATTCTTTGCCGGTTTTTTTAAGCAATTTTTTATGGCAAGTGTTTATTTTAATCTAAATGTAGAAATAATTTCTTTCCAAATACTGATTCTTAAAAAAACCTTTTTTCGAATTAATCTCCAAAGAACATATTCTTGATTATTAAATATGTCAGTCAATATATTTAGAACGATGTTATGCAAACTTTTGATTTTCACCGAAGTAAAATCGACATTATTTACTCTTTTTAAACATGTAGACGAATCAAATTGAAAATATATTTTTGTGTCTCAAATTTGAACTTCATGTTGTTTTGGTGAAATTTAAAACAATATATGCTCGATGTGTAAAACAGTGAAATATTGTGAGAAAACATTCTAAGAGTTGATTCATGAATAAAAAATAATTATTGTGTTTTTAGTTTGTAAACTACTTGTCTTAGATAATGTTGCAGTGTTAGTAGGAATGTGGTACGGTCATAAATTGTGACAGACTTACGCCAAAAATAGACTTACACCATATCAGGTCCTAGTGGTTAAGTTTAATAATAATATAGGCATATTTACTTATATTTTTAGTCCCACCGAGTTTAGCTTAAACGACTATGGAGGAAGAAGAGTTTTAATTTTTTATTTAGTCTCCAGTAAAATATAAAATAAATGTAAATATATAGCTGGAAGTCTTTATAACATTAGAGCTTGGATCCATTTGTAGGTACCTTTAATGACCACCTAATAATTACCTAAAGTTATACTAATATAATAAGGTAGTACCTAAGAATTACCTAATACATATTCAAATTGATTCATCTCAACATTTAGGCTCAGTAAATAAAATTATCCACCAACACTCTCAACGTCCGGTGGACTCAGTGATGGATGTGCATTTTCTTTTCTGCTGAATAAACAAAGATATGATGATAGATTGGGGAAATGACGAATATGCCTGAATAGCTAACTCTCCCCTCAACTCAAACTACAACTTAGTAAAAATGTCATTGGACTGCTAGTTTCCCAAATAGTTTTCCTAAAGGTAACTTAATTTAATCATGGCTTATAACGCTGCATGCCGTCAAAATACTTTTGACATCTTTAGACTGTGTAATTTACTGATTAACTTTA